ATCTTTGGCTAAGATAGGCAGACAAGTCCTTGCTAGCCCTGCGACAAGGGAGTGTGACTTCGGGATGAATGTTTCTGCGACCCCTGTGAGCCACAGGACAAGGAGGAGGAGAAGAGGAAGATTGATGGTTGGGACAGGGTGCCCAGGGTGAACAAAGGCATTGTGGGTAGGAGGGTAAGGAATGGGTCAGATGAGGAAGACAGAAGCTGCAGATAGGAAGAAGGCTATCTGGCCAGATGGGAACTTGAACACCAGAGGTTGTGCCTTTTTAAAAAATTATTTTTTGTTTCTGGGAGCAAGGGCTATGGACCCAGGTCTTGGGGCATGTGGTCCCTGTGGGCTTTGGGGCCATCACCTGCCTTGTCACCAGTGTTGTAAGCCTCCCTGGCCTTCCCATTGGTGGTAGAGCTACTGTGCCTTTGCACTCCCTCTTTCTGCCAGCTCAGGCACTGGGAGCCTTTCAGCTGGAGACTGCTGGGCAAAGGCTGCTGGCCTGTGTGGAGAGCCTGAGTGTGCGCAGGTGCACACCTGGGGTTGTAGCCTTTTGCATGCTGCTGCTGTAACTACTGCAGCACATGGGCGGCTGCCACTGTTGCCTTTGCGGTCATGGTCCCTGTGCATTACCACTGCACATCGGTGTTGCGCAGCTGGCATGCTGAGAAGGGCAGCCTGGCCTGCATGTGGGCCAGAGGGGAGGAACTAGATGGCTGCACCAAGCAAAGTCCTAACAGGCAGGACCAGAGGTCCCTTGCCAGCATCGGCAGGGGTGGCGGGAGTTCCAGAGGTCCCGCACCAGAAACGGCTCACAGCAAGGGGTTCTAGAACTTCCAACCAAAGTTGGGATTTGTGATAGCCAGAAACTGGAACTTCCAGCTGCTTGGATAGCCATGTGCAACCTCCCTGAAGGGCAGGGTGGGAGCTGTGTGCTTTGCCCATCCCTAGGTGCTGGTGGTTGTCAGATGGAGCAGTGAAGCTCGGTCGCCTTTACCACTCAGGCGCTTGCCTGGCTGGGTGCCAGGGCACACATACCCCCTAACCTGGTAGAACACATGGGATGCCTTTATTTTTCCAACAATGAATTGTGACAAAATGCATGAAATTATGAATTGTAGTCTACCAGAGAAACTTTTAAAAGACTTGAGTGCCCAAGGATTTTACTGTGGACTGATCATATTGATACCCTTTGCCTAGCATATGTCAAAATTCCAGAGTCCCAGAATAAGTGTAGGTTTTCTGATAAGCTACATTGTTTGTACATTTTAGGCATAGTGAGCCACTCTTACCAGCTACAGTGATGGGAACCTTTCTGAAATCCAATTTCCTGATGTAAGCCAGTGGTTAATCTTGCAGGCAAGTTTTTCAAAGGATAGCATTCAGGCTTTCTGTGCTAACTCTTTACTGAATGTGGCCCATCTTTTCCGTCCTCCCATGCCTTCTTGGGGCTTGTGCCTAACTGTGCACACCACCTCCTGCAGCACCACATATGGGCTTTTGGAGAGCTTGGGCTCTCTTAGATCTCTTGTGCACATGTGTGCAGCTCTCCAGTCCTCCAGGGATGTGAAAACTTACTATCTCCTCCATGGTCTCACCCATTGTACAAGCTTTTGCCCTGACCAAGATGGGGAGCTGCTTATGCTGACAGTATATGGTGCATCCTAGGCAAGAAGGCTGTAGACTCCCATATTTCATCAGTTTTGTATCAGTGAATACTTCCCAATGTGATGTTTCTTTTTGGTTGCTTTCTAGAACCTGATATAGTCTGTAAAATTATGTCCAGCTGTATAGTTGTGGGAGGGGATTTGCCAGCTTTTCCTATCTTCTGTGTTTGGAATTTCCTACATTCAGTACTATTTGCATATTGACAGTGTTGTATTGCTGGGGAAATCTCACCTGCTCACAGCATATTATTTTTTTCTCAGTATTGCTGGATTTGGTTAGTTAATACTTTTTAAGATATGTGCCTGTTCTTATGAAGAATATTAGAGAGTTCTTGTAATAATTTCATGTTGTTTTTGTTTCAGAGTTGATATTAGCCTCTGAAAATTGTGGAGAAGGGTTAAGTCTCCTGTTTTTGAAAAGAATTTATTTACAACTGGTATTTCTTCCTTTAATGTTAGGCAAGTCCTTGGCCTGAACAGTTGTTTTTGTGAGTAGGTTTTTGACTGAAAATTCACTTTCCTTAGGAAATTATCTAATTCATCTTGAGTGAGTTTTGGTAATTTATACCTTAGAAGAACTTTGCCTGTTTCGTGTATCCCATCAGATAGATCATGCTTTTAAACCCTTTATTGCTGTTGGCAGAGTGGCCCAAGTGGTAGACACCTGCCTAGCAAGTATAAGGCCCAACGTTCAAAACTCCAGTACTGCAAAACACAGAAAAAAGGTTTTCGATGAATTCTACATGGGGGGTGGTTCTGTCTTGGTCAGACAGAGGGGGAAAGGGCAAAAGATACTAAGGGGGTAAAGAAGATGAAAGTACACTTGCCTATATACACATAAATATAGTGGAATGAAACCCACCACTGTTTGGAAAGGGGGGAAACAGAAGAAGGGGGAATTGAAATATAATGGAGGGGATGAACTTGTTCAGGGTACACTGTATGCATGTATGGAATTATCACAATAAAATTCCCTTGTATCATTAATGTGTGATAATTCATTAATCAAATTTTTTAAATTAAGAAATTATTGCTGTTACTAAAATTTCTGTTAAATTTTTGTATGTATGGGAAATCATATTTTATGTTCTTTTATTATTTAAATGTTTAATTTTTCTTATGTGACATGATATTGAATGTATTTATCATGTGCCACATATTTTGAAGTATATGTGGCTAGTTATCAATTATATTATCTCACATTGTTAACTTGTTGTGGTGAGAGCACTTAACATCCACGCTCTGCATTTTTTAAGACTACTATAAATTGTCATTAACAGCAGTCACCTTGCTTTACAGTAGGTCTCTTGGATTTATTCCTCCTATCTCACTGTGTGTACCCCTTGACCAAACTCTGTCCTCCCCCTCCCTCCTCCTTCCTCTCTCATACAACTGTAGCCACTATGCTTCCTTCTGTCTCTATAAGGTCAGGCTTTTAGATTCCCTTGTGAGTGAGGTCCTGCCTAAGGGAAGATGCTTAGCTCCTTTGCTTTCACCACTCTTGTTTTTTGGTAAATTTGTTTAAAAGCAAAAATTTTCCTATAAGTGATATGTCTTTGTGACTCTTATAAATTATTTACTTTGTGATTTTCTTCTTAACCTAAAGGTTATTAAATTTTGTAGTATTTAGTTTCCAATCAAAAGGACTTTAAAAGCCATTCCTAATTATATTCTAGTTTTACATTTATAACCTGGAAAAATTTCTATCATAACAACTTTCTGACATTTATTGTGACATGGTAGAGGAACATTTAAATTTTTTTCTGTGTTCAAGAGAAGTGTGTGTGCTTTCCTTGTGAAGTTTATGTTCTGTTTGTGAGCTTATTGATCACATTATGCAGATTTATTTTAATTTTATCTGCATTTTCTGTACTGTGGAACATTGTTTAACATTTCCAATGAACAGTGTCAGCTTATCTGTTTCTTCCTACAGCTTTGTCACTTTTTGTATATCTGTATTTGAATTATATGGTTATCTGCAAATATGTTCACAGTGCATGTGACCCTGCTATGCTGTTCACTTTACCAGCACATAGTTTTACTCATTATCTCTTTCTAGGTTAGTTTCACACAGCTGCTAGCCTAGATTTCTTTGTTTCAAACTTACCTGATTTATATTCATTTATTCTTGTTTTCAGCTGGGCTCCTTTGGTCTTAAGTGTATCTTTTGTGGACAACATAACATTGGGTTCGTTCCCTTAAGCCAGTTCGAGCGTCTGTTCTTGAATTGGTCAGTTTAAGCTGGGTTGGTTCCCATATGTGTCCTCACATTGTTTTAGGTGCCATCTCTCCCTGTTGATTTCTGAGCATTGTCAGCCTACGTTCTTCCCCTCAAGGTGAACCATTTGGAGATGCTTCCTCACATAGCTGTCATGTAGAATCCTAGTTACCATGTGACTTAGATATCATTTCCTTACATTTCCTAGTCTTTGCTTTCGAGTGTGTGTGTGTGTGAGTGTGTGCGTGTGTTTGTGTACATATGTGCATGTGTATGTGCTACTGGGGTTTGCCCAGGTTGACCTTGGACTATGATCCACCTGTGGTTCCCACTATAACTAGGAATATAGATATATACCACCATGCCCGGCTTATTTGTTGAGATGGAGTCTCATCAACTTTTTGCCCCGGCTGGTTTCAAACTATCATCCTCTCAATGTCTGCCTCCTGAGTAGCAAGGGTTTCTAAGCATGAGCCACTGTAGTTGGTCCAGTCTTCGCTTTTTTGTTAGATAATGACAGACTTGAAAGTTCAGCAAATTTTTGTATGTTTTGAGCCCTAGTCTTCTCATTTATAAAGTGAAAAGAATTTTGCCTTCTTCATCTTCCCGTGGGAGGTGAATGTGGCAGTGTACATCAGGGCACTTGATAACATGAAGAATTTCAGGAGGGTGGGGTGTCAGTTAAAGGTGCTTTTATTTCACCACTTCCTTCAAGCAGTCTCTTTAATCCCCTTTTCAGAATTCAGAATAAGCACTCCCTTTTGTTTGCTCAATAGCCTCTGTACCTACATGGTTGACAGAAGTCCATATGAGTTCCCAGGCCCATACCTCCTGGTTGGCTCCAGCAAAGGAACAGCCCGACAGCCTATGATCAGGGACACCCCAAGGAAAAGGCTTTTGGGGCTGATGAGCATGAAGGGGGGCAGTTTGACACTGTCACTTGTTAGCAAAGGAAGGGACAAGTGTGAGGCTGCCTCGAACAGCACTTTCTTACAAAAAATGCCCAGGGTGGGAACAGTAGGCTCTATAGTACAGTGAAAAGTATTTTTAGGCACTATTAAGATTAAAATGTATTGCCTTAATATTTGGCTTAACATATGGTTCCTCACTTTATTTCTTGCTAGGCTCATATTGGCAACTTATTAACATCAAAATTCTTCAGTTACAAGGATTTTGATACTTTATTGTACACCTGTGCAGCAGAGTTTGACTTTATGGAAAAAGAGGTAAGATGTGATTTCTGGTTTTCTTTTCTGGGTTTTGGCCCACTCATTTTTTTATAAAGGTACTCTGTTATTTCAGGTTCTGAGTTTTTTGTTATCTCAAAGGAAGAAGAAAGTCTGGTAGCTTAAAGATGATGTTCTTACTTTACTTAGTATAGCTTCCTGAACCTATGGCCTCTTTTTATTTTAATAATTTGGAAATGTGCATTTAGCCTAGCCACAGTCTTTTGGATGAGTGAACACAGGCATTTCATGTTCCCTCGTTTCAGAGACAGCAACAATTCAGTCAATCTCTTGGGCTCTGAGTTTTCCACTCATTTTGTGGTCATTTGAATGATCTCATTGCTTACAAATACCATTGAGCATAAGCTTTTCATTTCATCAATTCTCTCTAAAACTTTATTAATCTGTTTAGAGGGAAGCCAAAGAGCAGGTTAGTAGATTGTGAGACAGAGCCTGTGTTACGAATGGATGGTCTTGCACAAGTCACTCACAGTGTTTGTGTTGTAGTTTACTAGTTTCTAGAAGTATGCTCAACCAAATATTGTGAAGCAAAAAAGAGATAACTCACAGGAAAGTCCTTTGATATTTTAAGTTAAATATTATTTTATAGTACTTTATGAACTAGTTTGGTTCAACAAATATGTATATTTTTGCTTTTTAAATATCATTCATGTGATTTATATCTTTTATTATCTGTGACACATTTCCTTCAAGGTTGCATGTATGAGTGTATTAGATAGCCAACAATACCTATTGTGTGTTTCCCCTTCAATCCCTGTGTTAGCCCAGTGTCCTAAGTTCCAAACTAGCTATAGCGCAGACTCTTAGCCTTCAGCCATTCTGGGTCCTGTGTGTCCTACAGATGTCCTGCTTTCTCCAGTGGCCTATCAGTCTTCATTTATCGTGTTTATGGTTTTGACACGTAATGGCTGATCAAAAGTGAAGTGTCTTGTAAGAATTAAAATACCTGTTCACAGAAGGACAAGACCCCCTTCAAGAAAATGGTACAGGAAACAGGGTAAACAGAATTGGGTGTGATGGAAGTTCCTCAACTTTATTGAGAACCTCGAGCATGCCACTGCAACCTGAGAGTATTAGTTGTCAGTTGTGTTTATTGAGACATGGCATGACTTCAGTCTGCTGAACAGGGTGCCATTCCCCAGCTCCATGGCAGTCTGTCGAGGCAGTAGATGCTGATTCAGGGATTTCACCCCTTTTATAACACAACCATACAGTAGGGAGAAGGGGCAGATTTAACATGGTATCCCTAACTGGGTACCATACTGACATGGAAAGATGCTTAAGATGGATAGTAGAGAGGATAAAATGGTACATGTGAAGTAAAAGAGCAAAATATTAACAGTGGTTGGGGGAGGAATTGAGGTATACAGGATTGTAATGTGTGGGCTTTGTTATTAAATATGTCTCTACAGTGTTTTATTTGCTTATAAAGAAAGTGTAGAAATGTCTTTGTTCCCTTCTTGAACATTGGTCTTTGTGTGTGTGTGTGTGTGTGTGTGTGTGTGTGTGTGTGTGTGTGTGTGAGTGTGAGAGAGAGAGAGAGAGAGAGAAAAGATGAGTCATGGGTAAAATTTTTAGCACCCCCTCCAACATGTGTTCTATTTAAAGGAGTTCTATTTATCCTGGACAGACAGTACACAGAAAGTGAAGAGTAATCTCTCTTGGTAGTGCTTGGGAACTGTGTTTGCAGTATTTTCAACTCAACATTTTGGTGAAATTAGTTTCTGTGGAAATGTACCTTCATTTTTATTGTGCTAGTCAGTGGGTAGGTTGGACCCCTTGAACTTGATGGGCAAATACTGTTTTTCTACTTACATTTTTAGAAACTCACCTTTTTCATTGTCTGAAATTGAATCTTTTTTATTTATTTATTTATTTGCTAAATAATACTTCTCTCTAACAAACCATCCCTCTGAATTTCAGACCCCACTGAGATACACAAGGACACTGCTGCTTCCTGCTGTTCTTGTGGTATTTATTGCAATTGTTAAAAAGGTATGTCATGTCGGTCACATAAGAGCTCTTTCCTATAATTAGACATTTTCTTGTTTTTACATAGTAGTCACGCATACTTGGCTGCATGATAATGTGATACAGTGTTTTATATTGATTTCTTGAAACACATTCTGTATTTTTATACTGACAGCCTTTGATGAAAGTTCTTAAGTCTTAGTAATATTCTGCTCTCTGCTAGTACAAAATAGACATAGGAAAAAGGCTGACTCAAGTTTTCAGAGTCATATATTTTGGGAGACATGATCAGAGAGCATGTTTACTCAGATACATCTTGGTTTTGCTTATGTAAATTATTACTGACTTGCACTTAACCTTTATGTAAAATTTCCCTGAAATATGTAGTTTATGTCTTTCTAAATGATTTGTGGAATTTCCTATAACTCCTGAATTGGGATTATTAGTAAAAAAAAATTTTTGAGAATTAACAGTGTATTGCTAAACTAGATAACATGTTTAGATCTCCAAGTTGGCTTTGATAATGAAATTCTAAGTCCAGATGTAAATCAGGCCAGAAAAGCTCCAATCTTCTGTGAAGAAGAGCAGGTGTGATACTCTGTTCTCGTAATAGTTTGTGAACTCTGTCACTACATGTGTCTTAAGAGAAGGAATTCAGATTAATCTGTGATTGAAAAAGATTTAAAAAAACCCTAAAAGTTTTCTGATTTGTAACTAGTGGTTTGTCTGTTAACACAGTGTCACAGATGTATAGACTATTCTGTACTATAACTATTGCTTATATTGTGTATTTTTATACAGTGCTTTGTACCCTACTCAGTCATCTTCACAGGGCAAATTTCAATCAGTTTTTCAACAGCCCTGTGTGGACAAATACAGTCATCCCCATTTCTGACAGACACAGATTTGGAAGCTCAGAGAGGTATTGGCAGCGTCACATGGTGACCCTTGCAGCATGAGATGCAGGCGGACATTGTGTGGTGCTCAACTTTGTAATGTCCCAGTACTTCCTCAGCTTAGCCACCTTCACTATGTGCCAGGCTCTGTGCCTGCTTTGCACTTTTGGGTGCTTCATGGGATTCACACCTGGTAGATAGTAAAAAATCCAGGCATTCACCACCCAGAATGTGTTCAAAACAGCCTGGATGGCAGAAGATGATGGAAGCTAGCAGGTCAGGAAGCTGGGCTGCTTGATTTAAATAACAAAAGATTCAAATGCAGTGGATAATTATTTTTACATATTTAAAAGCCTAAGATTACATTCATTCTGGCTTCTTGGAAGAATGGCTAATTCTAGAAGTTAGGACTTTTGACCAGAAATGATCTGTACTAAGTAGGATGGGTTATAGATTCAGGCAGCAGCCCCTGGTTCTTCCAGGGGCTGGACTAAACCTATCAGCAGTGCCATAGGGACTGGAAACAGGACTTCAAATTAGGTGATCTCCTGGTCACTGCTAAATATGAAAACACGGTGAGTGTGTTTTGAATCTTCAGATCTTTGGGCTGTGATTTTGCCTTTGAGCCAGATCTCTAGTACTGTGCATGTATGATTAAGGAGAGGCAACTCCAGCACTGAATGTGAATTTGAAGCCAGACATTCTAGGTTCAGGACCCAGCCATGCTTCCTAGCAGTTGTCTACCTTCAGGGAGATCATTTCATCCTTCTGAGACCATTGCTAGCTACAAAATGAGGAAAATATTATCTACCTAACAGGATTATTGAGCATTAGATGTGATAAAATATAAAAATATAAGATTATTTTGCTGTAATTATTATTTTATGAGTGATCTCTTACCTGTTTTTAATTAAGACTTTTAGAGTTTAGAAAATACTTCAGCTAAGATTTTGGTTTTTTCTTAAAACAGTTTTTCTAAAATCTTTAAAACTCTCTTTACAGATTATTAGTGATATGTGGGGTGTCATAACTAAACCACAGACACATATACGGTAAATATGCTGTTAAGATTTGTTACTTTTTCATTCATTTGCAAAGTAGTTACTTATAGTGTATTAATTTCACACTTACTTGTCCACTCAGCGTTTGAATTGTTCTTTCCATGATAGTCCCCTCCCCTCCTTGGCTTTCTCATTATCTCCTCCCTGTGGAAAGAATGGCCCATTATACATCCCTCCCTCAGATTTCATCCAGTGTAATCTGACAGCCACTGTGCACCTCATCTTTACCTGAAGGACACAGCTTCATCAGTTCAGCAGGGAAAGTAAATTTTTCTGTGAGTAGTTTATGGACCAATGGGCTGGCTGCCCTTTTTTTTTTTTTTTAAATGAGAAATGAGCAGGGAAATACCAAACTGAATGTATACCTTATGTTTTAAACAAAATTAATTCCAGATGGAACAATGATCAAAATACAGTCAAATAAATAACAACAAAAAACAAAAGCCAAAAATTAACCAAGAGAATATATTTATAATCTTAGAGGTAGAGAGGTTTTCTTAAGCATGACATAAAACTGATATGCTGGAAGGAAAGGTTGACAAAGTTTACTAGATAAATACTTTGGTTTGATAAAAGATGCCATAAGCATTGTTCAAAGACAAAGAACAAATGTGAGCAAATAGTTGCAATATCATTACATAAGACTGATCACAATCATATATAAAGAACTCCTAAAATTAATAAGAAAAAAATGCTGAAGGTACATTAGCAAATGAATGAAGGACTCAATAAGGGAACTGACAGGAAAATCATTTTGCCTTTTCTCTTTCCCACTACACCATGTCCTGTGGACCTTCTCTCTGCTCTTTAACAATGGCAGTTTGCTTCCTGTCTCTGCAGCTTTGTAGAAGTTGAAACCTATGCCCATAATTGTGTCCCCTGTACCTCCTCACATCCTTGCTCTTTGCATGGCTGATTTCTTTAATCCTTCCTCATTCTTATTTAGAAATAATTTGCTGTGACTTTGCCCGTGCATGTACATGAAGCATTAGAGTTGATAGGTAGAGGGAAAGGAAAAAAACTTCTGGTATATAATGCCAAAATTTTTTTTCATTTGAGGTGAGAGATTATTTCTGAAGAGCTCAGGAAGAAGCACAAAGATATACCTATACTATGCAGCTCTGGAAGAGGAAGGTGCAACTTCCCTTCAAAGATAACTCAACTATAGAAATAACTAGAAAACTGTTGAGGACTGGAGGTGTGGATCAAGTGGTAGAGTACCTGCTTTGCAAGTGTGAAGCCCTGAGTTCAAACCCCAGTCCCACCAAAAAAAATTAATAAATAAAAAAACCCGATGCAAACAAACAAACCAACAAAAAAACGCCAAGAGTTTTCTCAAAAAAGAAAAAAGAAAACTGTTGACTTTCATGGGGTTTTCATTTCAAGTGGGCTTAGAACTCTCTTTTAGAAAGAGAGTGGCATATTGACATTTCCTTTTGCATGAAAAGCAAAGTCACACCACTATAGAAAAGAGAGGAGTAGGAGATACATTTTAATTATCAAGATGTGAATACGATTACCCCCTTCATTCATGGAAACATAGGGTAGATGCAGCATGATGTAGCAGACAATGTATCTGCTCTGCAATCAGTCTGAACACATCCTGCCTGACACTCACTAGCTCTGGGACTCACCTTTGACTATAAATTGGGATAATAATGGTTGTAATATCATGGTTAGTGGAATGTACCAAGCATGTTAATATTGTAAGTCCTTAAGAGGTCAAAACTGATGATTTTTACTTTGGCATAAAAGAAGAATAAAAAAGAGCCCTTTTTACCACCTTTATACTATCACTGTGTATTTACTGAGTTTGCTAATATATCAATATTTTTTAGGCCAAATTCTCAAATCATTATGTGCTTCCCAGTCTAGAGGTTCACTAATATATACATTCACTCATTTAAAAAAAAGTTGAGGTCTGTGTTCCATCCTTTTTCTGGTTTTGGGGAGCATGCCAATACTTGATTCAGAGGAGGTGTGTCTTGTCAACTCACACTTCTATCTCTGATCCAGACCTCTCCCTTAAGCTCCAGATTTATACATGCCACTGTCTACTTGTCTCATCTCTTCTTGGGACTAATGAATATCTTAAATTTTATGGTACAACATTGAACCTCTGACTGCTCCCTACCAAGATTCTTCTAGACCTTTCCTATCTCATATGGCACCTCCATTCTCCTGGTGAAATCTTACCCTCATTTTTGACTCTGCTTTTTACCTCTTCTCTACGATCAGACCACCTGCAAACCCTGCCATTTTTCCCCTTCAGAATCTATCCAAAGTTTATACAGACATTAGCCATCACTGACCACCTTTATCCTGGTCCATAGCAGTACTACCTCTCCTAGATTATTGCCTCCTAACCACCATGCTGACCCCCAGCCTCTGCTCTTGCTGTGCAGGTCCATCCCTATAGCAGTAAAGTGAGCCTTTCAAACAGAAGTTGGATCATGTTCCTACTCTGTGTTCAAGCAGTTTTCTACGTTACTAAGAGTAAACCCAGAGTCTTCATCCTGGTATCCAGGGCCCTGATCCCCTCTGGTTTTTCCTCCTGTCACTGTTCTCTTGCTCTCCCTTTTCTTCTCTCATCACTCTGTATTCATGGTAAGCCCAGCAGGCCTTCATACTGTAGAACATTTGTATCCTTTCTCATCTCTGCCACAAATGCTGTCCCCGAGCTTCTCAGGCCCCATTCAGGTGTCACTCAGTTGGTAACCAGGCTGATTAAAGTGTGCCTTTCTAGGCACTCATCTCCCTACATCTTGCACCCTGTTTCCTGCTCTCCACAATACTTGTCACCATGAGACATGGGTTTATTTACCTTTTGTTTGTCTTCTTTGACTTGCATATAAGCTCTGGGAATAGAGATTTTTTTTCTATCTTGTAACTCCTCTGTCTCTGGAGTGTTTAGTGTATAATGAAATTGAGTGGATGGATGGATTTATACCCTAAATTCTTGAAGGGCTCATTTCAGTAGGGAGAGACAAGTGATAAAGCACAAATGTGAAGTTTTCTGTCAGAAGACAAACCAGGGCAGTGAGGTAGGAGGGACCAAGGAGAGGGCACTGGAAGTGGGAGAGCAAGAGGTCTCTGGCATTATTCGTGGTCTGTTAGCCTTGACAAGAGCCTGTCTATGAGGAGGGAGCATGGGAGGAGGTGGGTGTCAAGGAGGAGAAATAGGACCAGCTGAGGAAGACCATGTGCAGTGGGATGGGATTTGAGAGTTCACATTAATTGTAAATGGAACCCATCTGAGGGTTTCAGTGAGGGAGCGCCATGACCACCATCCCATTTTTACTTTTTTTTTTTTCCACAGTACTGGGGTTTGAACTCAGGGCCTTAGGCTTGCTAGGCAGATGCTCTAACCAGTTCACCCACACGTCCAGCCCTCAGTGACTTCCCATTTTTAAATGATTTTTCTCCCTGCTGTGACAAGTGCAGGCAGTACTTGTCAGCTTCTCAGAAAAGCATGTATCTTTCGCAAAGAAAGGAGAGCTGTTAAGCAAAGCAAAAAGTTGTGGCTATTTGTGTATTCTATAGCTGGTGCTAAGAAAAATCTCCTGTGTGGCTTCCCCAACCCTAAATTGTCTCTACTACAGCTGCAGTGCATGGGGGAGCTGAGGGCCATGGGGGTGGGAAGCAGGCATACAGGGCTGTGAAGGCTGAAGAGGTCTTTTTCGCTGTTTTGCTAGGTCTCACTGGTGAGAGATGTGGTCCATCACAGTGTGCTGCTGTTTGCATAATGTATACCCAAGTCATTAGATACTCGGGATGTATTGTACCGTTGTCATTTTAAAAATAAACTGTCTTAAATGGCTGTAGCACCAGTTTTGGTATATAATTTTTTGTTATTTTGATTTACATATATATGTCCTAGGAAATACTGGAGAAGTTGCAAAACTTATATTTATAAGATAAAATGCAAATAAATGAAGTGTTTCAGTAGTGATTCAATGATGATTTTTTTTTTTTTTCATTTCAGAAAACACCAGTTTGATCATGGAGAGGTAAAGACATTACCAACACTTTACTTATCTTAATGTCTGTGTATATTTTGACTTTCTAGTTCTGGTTTCTGAGTTTATTGACAATTGTCATTAATCATTGTCATAACAGCCCAGAATGTTTTTATGAGAATGCTGCACACAGATTCACTGAGCAGTTGTTTGCTGAAACAATTAAGTGGAAAAGTCTTCTGGTCTGTGTGGATATTCCTTACAGTAATAATGGCAGTTGACTTCCAGACCCACCGAGGCACCCATGTTAGATGTCTGTATGATTGGAGACCACTTTCCTCTCTGCTCATCTTTCCCTGCAGTATAGCAATGCAGGCTGGAGACCCAGACTGGCTTCCTGGCAGCTCAGTGTGGCACATTGGTATCTACAGGCAGCAGTCATTTCTTTGACCACTCTCCTACCTTGCTGTGATGGTAGCTTTACCAACCATAGACTTGGCTCTGAGCAGCATTACAGAAACATTTGCCTTAGTGACTATAATTTTACCCTTCTACTAAAACAGTGCAATCTGAAAGTAAATTTTAAGAATTACAGAAATCAAAGTAGTATTAATGTTACTAAGGAAAAAATAACCTTTTCTGTATATTCCCCAGTTTAATAGTGTATTCTTAAACTTCACAAATAGTAACAAGAAACAGTCTTTTTCTTTCTTTTAGCTGGTTTATCATGCATTGCAACTGTTAGCATATACAGCCCTTGGCATTTTGATTATGAGACTGAAACTCTTCTTGACACCGCACATGTGTGTTATGGCTTCCTTGATCTGCTCAAGACAGGTAATGTGATCATTGTGGTGAAGTTACAGCTGGTGTGATAGCTTTACCCCAGCCTTGAATACTGAGTGACTCTAAAATAATGCTGAATTACCCAAGGTACTGTAAGTCACTATAATTAATGCTCTTCTTCATGGTTTTTTACTCATCTTTCCTAAAGGGTAAAGATCAAAGCTGATCTTGCCCTTCTAGCTTTAAAATAGTCCTTGGCATTCACCCAACACTGAGTCAGTACAGGCTGAGCTCATGAGTGATCACTACAAATCCTGATAGGTAGCAGAACTTAATTTTAAAACCATTTTCGACATTAATACCATAAAGAATTCTAGCAATTCATTTTAAGTTATAACTACTTGCAAATTATATGTTGTTACTCATTAGCAGGCTTAAAGTTTTCTTCTTTCATTTATTAAATGCACATTTGTGTGCACATCCCTGATTTCACTTTTTTTTTTTTTAAGTTTTGTTTAATCCATCCCTGGTTATTTACTGCTTTTCTTCTTGGTTACTGCCTCCGTGTCCTATATTCACAGATTTTAATTTATGCTTCTCCACAGTGTCACTTTCTCATCAATCAACCAGCCAAGGTGTAAAAGCAGCATCTCTTTTAGATATACCAAATGTTTACTAAGCACCAGCACTTCTTCTAGGGGTGGGGATAAAGTGGCAGATGGAAAAATCCAAAAGCTAACGTGTATATATATGCTCTTAAGAAGCTTAAATCCAGCTCTACACACATGCAGGGAAATGATATGAAGGGGAGAATAGTAGGGACAAAGTGCTATTATGGAGTGTGGACTGTTTGAGTGTGGAACAAATTCCAGCCTCAGGGTTCCTGGTCAGAATGTTGGAATTGTTAGAGAGGCACTACTTTGCTCTGTTCCTGACTCCCCCAGGCTGGGATAGGAAAGAAGGATGGTTAGAATCCTTTTATCTTAAATCCCATCCCACAGCCAGACAGATTACAGCCCTGGGCTGCTACCAGGGGTGGGGCCTCTGCTGTCACCTCTGCACAGGGCCCTGAAACCAGAAGGACCCTGTGCTGGGCTAATTTGCTCTTACTGTTTTAAACTTTTTGTGGTGATTTGGGGGAGTGGGGATCAAACCCATGGCCTGGAACATGTTAGGCAAGTACTGTTCATCTATATCCCTAGTCTGTTTTGCATTTCTTAATGATTGGCTCACATTTTCATTTTGCACTGGGCCTTGTCAATTGTGTACCTGGGTGGCCCCTGGCTTACCTGGATCTGGAGTACAGAGAGGAGGTTGAGAGAAGAACTCTTCAGTCAGGTCCCTCTTCCATAGGCTGGTGGGAGAGTTCTTTTGATCCCAAGAATCACTGTGCCTAGAGCCTCTGCTGAGGGTAATTCTACCACACCTGGGACTCTAGCAGAAACTGTGTTCTTTTCTGGGGAAGGTCTTTCACTTATTGGATATGTTCTGCTTTGTACTAACAATTATCAATATGTTCTTAATTTGATTTCAGCTATTTGGATGGCTGTTTTGTAAAGTACATCCTGGTGCTGTTGTTTTTGCTGTATTAGCAGCAATGTCAATTCAAGGTTCAGCAAATCTACAAACCCAGTGGAATATTGTAGGGGAGTTCAGTAATTTGCCCCAAGAAGAACTTATAGAATGGATCAAATATAGTACTAAACCAGGTAAAAAAAAAAAAAGACAAAAACATCATATCATCTAGCTAGGATTTTTTCCACAATGTCATATACTACTGCAAAGTTATACCCAAATTAAAAAAAAAAAAATCCTCAATCCAGCTTAAATGGTTCACAGAGAAATGTCATACATATTTTCTTAGTAATTTATTCACTATTTTCCATAAATTTGAATTTTTTCAAAATTTATCCAAGGTTATAAATGCCACATTTTAACAGTTTTGTTATGCTTGTTTTCTTAATGAATTTTTAATATTAGTCCTTCCCATTCTTTCTTGAACTCAGGGAATGTGATCTTTTATTCATGTTGAAAAGAAGACTATTGTCATGAGTACCAAATGATTGAATATTAAATCATCTTTCAGAATTCCTTGGTGCTATGAAACTTCTGTAGTCAATTTGATACTTCTTTCCTAGAATCAGGAAAGATTTCTGAGATATTTAAAAAATAAGCAAATGCCCGATGATGAAATGATAAAGCTATTTTCCAAGAAAAACAGCTCACCCAGGCCTGGTTGCTGACTTCCACTTGAGCTATCTGGCTTCATTCTGTTCTGCCATTGCTAGGAAGCCACAGCGTACCTGGGTCTCAGCCCTGTCACCTGCGAGATAGTTAAGTTGAATTAGGAGGCCCTGCCGATGGTCACCCGCATCTTTCCAATGCTGCCTTCTTGTTTTCAGATGCAGTGTTTGCAGGTGCCATGCCCACCATGGCAAGCGTGAAGCTGTCTGCGCTTCGGCCTGTGGTGAACCATCCACATTACGAAGATGCAGGCTTGAGGTGGGTACTCAGTCGCACATTATTAAAACACGTGTTCTATATGAATAGATAGAGGGGGAGGAAAACAGCAAAATGAGGAGTGTTTGAGAAAGGATATGGTGAACTGGGGTTCAGGGTAGTGTCAGGGTAGAGATGCTGAAATAAGACCACTGAGCTGGGAACAAAACTGTTCAGTCACCACAGGGAAGTAAAGCTGCAAATTTTGGAGTTGTCTTTCTTCAGGCAGGAACAAGAAATCCTATTGTAGTTTAACAGGGCTCCAAAATATCTGGGCCTTTATGAGACACCAGCATCTTTCAGTCCTCAAGAGACTTATTAGCTTGTGGTATTTATTAAGATTTCCTTATCCACTGTTTTTCTTGAATTCTGAGGAATCCTTTGAAACGCAATCCTATTAAAGAGGTTTTATTCTGGTTTTCACCAATTTGGCCTTCTAGATGAGCTTAGTTGTTTTTTGATACTTATAATTTTTTCCATACATTACAGCTTTTATATTCTCTTTGAAGTGGTAATAAATTTAATTTTGATGCAATTTCTAGAATAGGTAAAGTTATTTATTTCCTAAGTGATTAGGCAAATCCTATTAGTATATTATTTTTACATAACAGTGTGATGTACATTTTATAAGTAAAAAGTTTTTTCACTAAAAATTCAGTTTGGCAAGCTAATTTCCAGACCAGTTTTATGGAGTAAGTTTCATATTTCTTAAACCTAGAAGGTAAGCGGAGGGTTGCTTACTCTCCACTTGAGTTTTGTTGGTACCAAGGTGCTGGGGCTCTTGCCTCTTCTCGAGTCCTAGAGTTGTGTTTGTCATAGTTCACCCCTATCCACACACACTCACACACACACACGGGTCCTTACATGTGAAAGAGTGGTGACCAATTTAAAAACAAAGCAAGTGAACAAAACCCGAAGAAGACTTAAGTCTGGAAACATGGGCATGTATTAAAACCAAACCGCTTCCCCCGGGACTCTTGTGCTATGCCCACTTCTATTCTTGACCTCAGCCTTGCCCCTGAGGAGGACCCTGTGAGGATTTCTGCTTGCTTCTCTTCTGTGTATTTTTTGAGTCCCATTCTGTGCTTTCTTCCAAATATTGTTGGTTGTATCTTTGTAATCTTCATTTTTTTTCTGCCCCCCCATTTTTCTTTAAAGAGCTAGAACAAAAATAGTATACTCAATGTACAGTCGAAAAGCAGCTGAAGAAGTGAAGCGAGAATTGATAAAGTTAAAAGTGAATTATTACATTCTAGAGGAATCATGGTGTATAAGAAGATCCAAGTGAGTATTTAGCAGTTAATATTTTATAATAATATGATATGAAAAGTTAATTTAGGATTCTGCCAAACCTTTTGCCAGTAGTATGATATATATGTGTATATACACATACACATATATAACTTTTTGCAATATATGAGTGAAAAGCTTTGTAGATAATTATTTAAGTTGGAGTTTTCTTCTTTTCTAGTCATTATAAGTATCTGTTTCTTCATGGTTTGTGTGTGTTTGCTACCTTAAAGGCATTATGTTGGCATTGACTGATAATTTCCCAAATTGTAATTTGCCTTTGATGTTTTTCTTTAAAAAAAAAAACTTTACTTAAAGTTGGATCTATTTTCTGTCAAAAGACTTCCAGAGCCTGAAATCAAATAATAGGGAGTCTCATTATATGGCAGTGGGTCAAACTGCTGAGAGTCAGGGCCTCTGATGTGCAAAGCACATCTCTGTCCCCATGTGTCCTGTCCTGTGGGTGGGTGTGGCTCCCTGGCAGCATCAACACAGAATGAAACTTTCTTGCTGGTTGCCCATCCTATTTGAGTGGGGAAGTAATTAATTAACTATGACCCATGTTCTCTTGGGTTTATAGTTTGAAAGTTTCTATTTCCATGGAGATATTCACTAAGCAGAATATGGCTACAAGTGCCAGGAAGATCCCAAATGTGAGTTCTGAAGTTGCTATGTGGAAATGCTACCCCTGGGTGACTAGACAGCAAATAACAGGATCCTGTCATTAAAGGACAAAGCTTTTACTACCTGAGGAACACAATGCATGGACATTTCACCAAAAATTGGTGATACTTTATGGAACACTATTATTTTAAAAATTCTTAGTGTTCTTTTGCTAAAACAGAAATCTCCAGGAGATTGCTATGTCTGCAGCTATACTTGGCCATCATATATTGCAGTGATATAGAAGGATATTAAGACAAAATGGTTATATCTTGATTCATTAGTGAAAATAGTTGTAAGGCATAATATCTATATAGCTATGCACACACAGAAACTAATATAATTATTGATTATTGAATGCTTTTCCTATGAATATCAGAATGTTAAGAAAATGTTCTAAGTCCTGTGACCATATGAATAGATAAATTCACATATTCACCTCTAATTAACTTTGTTCTATAAGTGTAGATCAAAGTTCTAAGCATCTCTCAACAGTGTTACAAGGTCATTACAAGAAATCAGTGATAACCTAACATTTGCAGTAGAAGACTCAGTTTCTGGACAGAGCTTTCTACCAAGTTGTGATCTTCTTTATTTTCTTAAGCTGCACTCTCCTGAGACATCTGTAGGTTTCTAGAACATAAAGATAATTTCCATAACCTTTTTTCCTCCAAGCAAGCAGTAAACACTGGCTCAAGACTCAGCATTTTTTTCTAGACCCTTGCATGGTGTTTTGAGTATATAAACTGCAGAGGCTTTGTGTTCTAATGGGTTAGAAAAGCACCTTGGGTTTGCATAACTATAGGAGTTTCATATTCTGACAGGCAGAGCACTGTTTTATGTACATGAGAAGGGAAATGAAAGAAAGGGAGTATAGCAATAAATATTGCACACTAAGCAAAGCCAGCAGCCATAACTGGCTTCAGATTACTTGCAGAACATACTAAAGTTGGGATGGGAGAAGATAGTGGCTGGATTTCCTTATCTGGAACTGGACTTGTCATAATTATGTTGGTTCCAGCAGGAGTTGAAAGGAAGGGAACTCATCTGTTTTCTCCTCTCATTAACCAACAAACTCTGTTCATTACTCCAAGACTTCAGCCAGACTGATTATACACTCTTAGGAAAGCCTTAGGCAGGTCCACCCTTCTTCAGCCTGAGACAATACAAAAGCTGTGCTCTGAGTTCTGACAGGGAAGGGAAGGAAGACTCAAATAGGAGAGAAGGATGAGGGACCAATATCTGTTTCATGTTGATATTCACTGCAGGAAGAACTGAGTTTCTTGACAGAGCTTTCTACCAGAATGGGGGTTTTCTTTATTACCATGGCCTTTACTCTCCATCACTTTTGTCAGCCCGAGACACCTGCAGGTTTCTGGAACATAAACTATATCAGAATAAGGAAAGCAAATGGAAAACTGGAGAGAAAATGAGAGAGGGACTAGGGTTAATCTAGAGCTTAATCTGGACCTGGCACATTGGTGAACACAATATATATATGATGTCATTTGCAAGTGGCTTAATTGTGTGGCTTGATTAGTCCTTAAATACATCATACTGTGTGCAAATACATGTACGAAAATACACCCAAATGTGTAATGTAGATGAGTTTTTAATAGCTACTCTTATTCTCAGTTCTCTGCTTTTTTTCATTAATTCTGGTAATAGAGTTGAAGTACGTGTATACAGAAGAAAATAATTCAGATCCTCACTAATAACTTTCCTTTCTTTTTTTTTGAGCCAAGTTCTCACTGTGTTGCCCAGGCTAGCCAGGACTACAGGCACACACCATCTTATCCCCCATCTTACCCATCTCCCCATCTCCCCACTGACCAACTTGAGAAAAGATTAGGAAACTCAGATAAGGACTGAGGAGTTGTTTTAAGAGGCAGACGGAACTCACAAAGGCAGCTCTTGTCCCCTTCTTTTTCCTAAGAGCTGTCGACTCTGAGAAACTCAGGGTAGTTTTCTACTTCCTGTATGTCTCCACTCTCCACCACCTGTGGCTCTTTGCTGTCAACCTTGACATACTTGAGGATATTAAAAGGCGGAAATGCCCAAGCACAACCATTTTATTCTAGGTGTTGAAGATTGGTAGAATCTGATGTTAATGAAGACATGTAAAACATGTGCCCTGGAACTCCTTTCACATGGACCCTCATGGGTAAAACCTCCCTGGGCAGAGTGAAAAACTGTGTTGTCCTTTGATAGAATGATAGTGCTGCATCTGGAAGTTCAATTTGCAGAAGGAGATAGGCACAAGAGTGTTTCTAAATGTCTCTGGCTTATAATGGCAAATGGGAAATGATTAAAGGAGGACTCAGTAGTACTTAATTTAGAGTACTACCAACTATTAAAAAGAGCAAAGTAGGTCTCTATATTCTAAGATGGTGAAAAAGTCCACATTTTGTTGGTACCAGTCCCAGAATAATCCCGATTTCATAAAAACAGTCCAGAAGCTGCTGAACACCATGGTTCACACCTATAATCCTAGCTACACAGGAGGCAGACATTGGGAGGATGATGGTTCCAGGCCATCCTGGGCAAAAAGTTCTTGAGTCCTCATCTCAACCAATACCTGGGTATGATGGTGCATATGTGTCATCCCAGCTATGCAGGAAGTGCAAATAATTAGATCATGGTCTAGGCTGCCCTGGACAAAAAGCAAGACCCTATTCCAGAAATAAGAATAAAAACGGCTGGAGGTGTGGCTCAAGCAGTCACATGTGAAGCCCTGAATTCAAACCTCAATATTGCCAAAATAAATTTAAAAACCCAGGAGCATCTCAAAAATAAAAACCCCCAGGAGCATCTGTATATATAAATATGTCTGTGTGTGTGTGTGTGAGAGAGAGAGAGAGAGAGACAAACAGAGCATGAATAAAAAAAAATATCTAGCAGGATATATGCTGGGTGTTTATAGACATTACCTCTAAGAAATGACTGGAGATGACAGTGATTTCCATTTCTTTTTTTTATTTTGTTTAGGTCTGTATTTAGGTACTTTTATAATGGTACTTTAAAAATTATAGATGTTACTTAAAAATGGAAAACATCCTTGCATGGCAGAAAGCAGGATGGGACTGCCACTAAGGATAAAAGGGACTTGTTGGAAATGTTTTTGTCTCTTTAGAAAAACAAAAACAGTGAAACAAGTATGACAAAACACAAGCAGTGGTCAAGTCTGAATTTTTCATACATTTTTCTGTTTCTTAAGACTGCTCAAAATGCAAATGAAAGGATTAGAGGCATGGCTCAAGCATTAGAGCACCTACCTGCCTAACAAGAGCAAAGCCCTGAATTCAAACCTCAGTACTTCCCCCCCATCCCCCCCATCCCCCCCAAAAAAAGAACCAAATGAAAAAGTATGAATTGTAGCAGACTCTTAGCAGTTTTACCTATAAAGCTGTTCTTGATTTAAAATGAATGTTACAGTTATTTTGAACAACTTCTTTAGGCAAATACTGCTTTATACTAGTGTCACACTATTTTTTATAAAAAGATATTCTTTTTAAGATTTAATTCTGCATTTAGCTAAGATGTAAGCTTAATACTATGAGATTTCCTTTAAATTGATTCATTCTAGAGTATAATTAATGCACCTTCCTTTGAACAAGGCATACTTGCCAGTTTATTTTTTAAATTAATATATGTTTATAAGCTGGGCATGGTGCTTGATATCTGATTGCTCTTAGTCCTCACAACTAAGCTCCATCATGGGTGCTTCCTCATTTCACACATGTGGAAACTGAGACTGGGTGAAGGTGAGTACCCTACACCATGTTCTTGGCAAGCATCTTATGCAGAGTTTACCAGGGTCTCTATCACTCCAGCCACTGCACATGTATATTCTGTGCCACATTCACCTCAGCCTAAAGAGGACTTGTAGCAACTTGCAAACAATGTAGATGACTACCTTAGGATTTTTTAAACTAAGTTAATATAAGCAGAAAAATGAAATGAAATGAAGAATGCAGATTTTAATGTGGACATTCATCATTCTAGGCCTGGTTGCAGTATGCCTGAAATTTGGGATGTGGAAGATCCTGCCAATGCTGGGAAAACTCCCTTATGTAACCTCTTGGTGAAGGATTCCAAGCCTCACTTTACCACTGTATTCCAGAACAGTGTTTACAAAGTCCTAGAAGTCATAAAAGAATGACTGCTATATGAACTGCTGCCTACAGAGAACCACACCAGTAATGGTTTTAATGTTTTGCTAATAATTTGCATTTTATTTTTAATTCACACGCCCCCAAATTTTTATAGGTAACTGTTTTCAAATAGAAAACATTTTATTTGGTCAACTTGAATGTCATTCTGACTGTAAAAATGACATCTGCCCTTATCAATTGTTACTATTTCAGTGAACCCCTTAAAATTTGCTGTGCAAATGAGCACATACTTGTACTTGGCATAAAGTGAGCAGAGCTACCTGGTAAAAATATGTGATGGGTAATGACAAAGATCGCGTGAAAGTAGTCAGTTCTCAGCTCTGGAGGGACTTATTTTATGGACTGTTATGCCCCTTGCTTTGATCCTTGCCTCTTGTTCTTGTCTTTGGACATTTCAGTGATTTTGGTAGGCTTTCAGGCACATCAGTCCCTCTCATCATTTGAGTCATAGGTGGGGTAGTGGGGGAGGGCAGGTATTTGCTATGTGTAATTACCTGTTCATCGTCCTCCTGTTCGTTTTTTTGTTCTGTATTATTCTTGGAATGAAGCATTTCCTGCCCACTATTAATACAGACTTCTTGACCTTGGGGTAGGACCAGTCCCATTGATTTCCAACCATGTGGCATTATGGTGTACCCACCTCCCCCCACACGCACAGGCACACATGCGCGCGCACACACTTTTTTTGGTCCGTTAAGTGCTATTTACTCATTAAGTTGCATATCAGATACCTATTCTTGGTTTTAAAAATGGTAAATGTATTTTTCTCATTTTTAATATTATTCAAATGTCTATATTTTAATATCTTTAAACTGCTTTAAACTTTTTCATGTTTAATTACACTTTTAAGAAAAACTATTTTGAACAACCCCAAATGTAGTGCATCTAGAAACCAATGTATATTTGAGTAGACATAATTGACAGTGGACTGTAGAATATAGCAATTTTTATTTTACTATTAAGATATAATAAAGGCTAATTTTTCTGTCAAAAAGTAAATAAATAACGGAGTTTTTCCATTTTACTTTCAGTACTGCCTGTCTTGCTAAGACAAAGCCTTAAGCTTTATGTTATAATTTTGGCTGTATAAAGTATCGTTTTAGTATGAGGACATGGTACACTCAGGCTTCCCTTTAGTTTTTCTTCCTGTTTATTTTTATTTTGAAATCTTTCCAAACTTGTTTTGAATTCTTGTATAAATTTTTGTTTCTTAGAAGTTAATTTGTGTGAAATGAGATTCTTTAAAACAAATCTTCATTATTTTGATAAATGGTTTTCAGGTTTAAATTCTAAGCAAACCATGACTCTGGCTGGCTACACGTTTATACAGTCTTTTCTTTATTAACCACAGGCAGATTAACCTCATTGTGGATTGTCCTTGAGACCTGAGTCCTCAGGGATGGTTTCCGGTGCCCACTCCTGGGAGCCACAGAAGAGCTACTCTCTTTCTGCCTTCTTACCAGAGCCCAAGGACAAGCCTGCTCTGTTTGTATTGGTCAGCTGCAAACAGCATGTGCAACTGAGGAGTGTGGCTTTGGTGGGGAGCACCATCCCTATCCCTAACCCTCCCTAGAGCCAGAACCTGTACCTCCTCCAGGGAGTCCCTTCCCTGCTGTTGGCCCCAGGGGATTGCTTCTGCTAGTGTTGTACAGATTTCTGGTCACTCTGTCTCATTTGCTGCTTGACTGTTTTTTTTCTTAGGCTTTACTGGGTTCTGAATATAGAGATGCAGATGGGGATTTATGAATTAGGAATAGCCTTTGAGCAAAGATGCAGCAATCTGGAAAAATGGGAAGAAGACACCTTGAGGCTGAGGAGAATGAGAGTCATCGCCATGGGAAGAGGGGAGGGGTGCTCTGTGTTAGCTGCAATTGTCCCTCCAGCAGTTGTCATTACTTCCATTCTAGTTTTAAAGTTACTCTCTTCTCTCTTCTCCCCTCCAACAATCACAGTTCACATGTGATGACTGGAAATTCTGTACAGAAAAAAACTTTAAATACTGTTGTAATGCTGGGAAACATTATTCTAAATTAGTTTTTTTCCAGAAGAATTCTTTTGTAACAGTATTTCTTAATGTAACTCCACCAGCAAACTCTGTTTGTACTTCAGGCAAGTCAGTTGAGAACAGAAGGCTTGGGGGTCCTCTGCTCATTCAGCCTTGAGCACTTACAGAAGCAGCCAGCACTGTGCGGTATAAATACTTTCATGGTAAAGAAGTAGTAGATTCTGCATACATGACAAAGCAGTGTTAGAGCTCAGTATTTTACATATTTTTAGCACTTAAAAATATTTTTGCTTTACTGTGGGGAACATAAGGATGGGCAAAGCAGTGATTGAAATAGCTATTGCTATGACATTTTAAATAACAAGGTTGGGGCAGTATTTCCACAAAAAAGATAAGCCTGTAAAAATGCTTGGCAGGAAAAGTGTACTGTTAAAATAGGCCAATGACATTAAGTAGAAAAGGAAAGACCACATCAGGAATAAAGTGATATTACATAGGAGTATTGTATTTTTATGAATTTTACGCCACTTGTTTACATGTAATATATATGTTAAATAAAAAAGATAATGAAAAATATGGAAAGTGTTTCTCTTGCCTGCTATTTTCCTTTATCCTATGACTGTGAACATGCACAGAGTCATTTTGTAGTCATACACCCACGGACTGGTTTTGCAGTCTTCTCACAAAGGGGTAGTTACGATTGTAATGATAGGATCCATGAGACGCCTGGTCTCTATTGGTGGTACTGGGTACTGATATGCAAGGGATGATTGCAGAATTACTGAAAACTTTTTCTCATACATTAGACCACAGACAATTTGGGATTGAAGGAATTGAAGGACAGACTGCAGGAGGTCCCAAAAGGCGATAAGTGGTCAAGGAGACACTTCTCCTCCCTAGGAAAAGCCTGTTTGCATCTGAAAGGCATCTCCTGCCAGCAGGCAATGCAAATAGGCTATAAAACCCACTCCCCAACCTGACCCATGGGATCACCAGTTTCCGGGTCCCCCTGCATCCTCCAATATGCAGTCTTTCTCTTCTCTTTTCTCCAACTAAATTCTCTACAAATAAAATCTTTCCAATCTCTGCTGTTAAGAGTCTGTCTGTGCTTTCATTCTCAGAGCAGGCTCAAGAATCCTGAGCACCTGAAATTCCTGCTCATGTCATCCATGCATCAGGATCATAACATTCCCTAAGTTGCAGCTCTGTGTTTTTGCTTGGCTTTTCATGATTGCTTTACCTCTTTGGAGGGAAGGCAGTTGAGTTTAGTTCATTCCTATATAACAAGGTTCCTAACACAATGGCACCTTGATTCTGACATTTTTGGGGAATGAAATGTTCTATCAATGATTTTAAAAACTACTGGGCATCAGAATTACCCACAAGGCCTGTATAGTGCTGGCCCTACACAGAAGTTTCTGGTTCCGTTGGTCTAAGGTAGAGAACCCTCCAATTGGCACTTGTTACCAGTTCTCAGGTGGCACCAATTCTGTTCTTCAGGAGAATGGGTGCCCCATTCCTGTAGGGCAGGTGAGATAAATCCTCCCTGTGTCTGGAGCTAATTTTCATTAGTCCCTTCTATGGCTCCTAGGGAACATTGCTTCCATGTTACCTGCAACGAACAAAGAACAGCCAAGGTCATTGTTAACCACAGCACAAATAGGAGTTATGGATCATTTAAATACTTTGAAGATGTTAACTGGACCTTGTTTCTTTTCAAAGATGGAGTGAAAATCCTTTGAAATAGAACTTTGTTTTGTAACATTACTTTGGGAGAAAACAAAATCCAGTGATGTGTGGGGATTTTAAAGAATTTCTGTTCTACTTTTTTTTTTACCTTTTTTGTTTTAGCCTCAGAAATCTTGTCTTCTTGCGTGAGAGGGCACCCAAGAATCAGCGCTAGGTCACAGATGGCCTGCTTCTCGTTAGCGCCTTCCCTTTCCCCTGCCCTCAACTAGGAATTCATAATTTAAATCAGTAGAATTGCTCAGTGCAGAAGGAGAAGCTACATTTAAACCTCATTACACCCTTGAGTTGGTCTTTATTTCATGGCATTGTATCAGGACAAGTTCAACTTTACATTTCAGGCTTCCAAGATAAAAGGATATTATGGTACAAAAAGGTCTTGAAAAGTTTCCTTTTACATTTCCTCCCATGAGAGGAAATTTAGAATTATGAAGGGATGTAAGAGTTGAAGACCTTCTCTTAGAATTTTGAGCTATTACACTGTAATTGAGAGAAAGACTTTTTTGTAAAGAGATTAGGGTAGAATTATTAATACTGTAATTCAGTAAATATTTCAAAGTAAATATTTTCTATTGTCAATTATCTCTGACTCCAAACTAATTATTTTACACATAATGTCAAAATGACTTTCAATTAAATGGTAGTGATACCTGGTACTCTGTTTATGAAGGCATGTTCTTTTCAATGCAGCATAATGCCATTTCATTGATTTTTTTTTAAGTACCTGCTTGTTTTCCTTTTACTGAATGCAAATTTAATATTTAGGAGAAAAGTTTAGCAAAATTAAGCTCATTTACTTATGCTGACTGCTCTGACAACTTTATTCCTTATTCATTTGTAAAAAAATAGAAGTGAATATAAGAAATGACCATATCTGATAGGTCATCATGCCATGGAAACTGATTTTTTAAAAAATACCTGCCAGTCAGCTCTTAAGCTGAGCTTTATTGGCCTAGCTCAGTCTCCATCTTTGTCCCTGGTGATGATAAGAGGGTGTCATGCTGTTGGCCAGGCCCCTCAGGTCCTTGCTTAGTATCTGCTTATAGACTAAACTTTGGGTTCACAGGCTCCCTCTTGCTCAGGAGTACCCCCTTCTCAGGAAGTACAGTTTGGCTTATCCTATCTTTACATTAATAACAAATTGGGCTTTTTGTAGCAAAGATTCCTATGGCAAATCATTCTTAAATTTATCTGCATGTTAGAACTACTTAGTAAGCTTGAAAAAAAATACTGTAATCTGTTTCCCATCCCAGAAAGTTGTTGTCTGAGAGTTGGAATTTTAAAAATCTCTAGATGATTCTAGTGTGTTCTAGAATCTGCTTTCCCTGCTACACCTCTGAATATCCATTCTTTCCTAAGTCTCTGCTGTGTTGAAGAAGGAATGGGAAATGTCTTGAACACACATTCTTTTGTTAGTAGTGATGGATTCTTTATATATTACTCATTTCTACTAATCACAGAACCTAATGTGAGGGAATTCAGTAAGGAAAAAATTCTGTGTTCAGTTCCAGCTTTCTGCCCGTGGCAGGGAGAAGGGGGAGAGTGACTGTAGATTAGGGTGTCAATGAGAAATCCAAGAAAACAGCAAAAAGAAAAAAATTACTTTTAAAAATCACCTTGGTAATTTAATACGTGTGGAGAATCAAGTTTCTTCTCTTTGAAGGTGCCTTTTCTAGAATATGCTTTTCTTGATCAGGATCTATTTCAAGATGTTGCTCAAATTTCACCTCTGAAGCCTTCGCTGACTGCCTATCCCTTGGTTGAGTGAACTTCCCTGCACTTACCCTAGTCCCATCACCTGTACATTGCACAAGTTTATGGCATAACTTTCCCCTGTTAAATTGTATTAGTACAAATGGGACATATGTCATATTAGCTCTGAATTCATTATGCTGCCTTGCACAGTTCGTGGCAACTCATACTGCTTAATGATCTTTTAAATAAACCATGCTTTATACTACAAAGTGGCAAATTCCAGATGGCATAAAATTATTTTTAAAACCAAGAGAAATGGAAGTTTATATATTCTCGCTGTGGAGAAGAAATAAGAAAACACAGGACATCTTCAGATGGAAGTAATATCACAGAGAGCAGAAAAGTTCTTGGCAAACAACTACACAAAAATTAACCTCATAGCATACCCTGAGAGGTACCTTGGAAAACAATATGGCAAAGACAGATGTATCATCTTCCAGGTCAATGAACCAGGTCTTCATTGACCCGGTTTGTGTTGTATGGCCCAGGATACTGATAACCAGCTGTGGGCACATTCACCCCTGGTAATTTGGATAAGTCTGGGAGGAAGATTTCCCAGAGAAGACCGGTGTGTTATTAAGTGAAGAACATTAGTCAAAACCAGTGTTTGCAACTTGCAACCTGACAAACGACTAGAGTACAGAATAGAGACACACAGAAAAATGCAAAGGACCCATTGGAAAAACCAAAAACATGGAAAGAGTAAAAGTAATTCAAATGACTCGTAAACATTTTTAAAAATCCAACCTATTCATTCGTAATCAAGGACATGCAAAATAAAATCACTAATGTTGCCATTCTTAACTCATGACACTGGTAAAATTTTAGTAATAGTGTTGGAACAGGCGAAATGGCAGAAACCCTAATTTACTCCCAGTGGAGTAAATGGCTATATCCAAAAAATTCAAATACTTTGACCCACAACTATCTATCTGCACTCCATATATGTATGTGTATATACACACATATACATATTCCCCCCAAAATTCCTGCATGTGCTCTGGAAAACCTGTATATGTTCACTGTCACACAGTTCAAAGCAGCCCAAAACCAGGAAATTACCTGACCATGTGTCAGGAGTGAAGAGTAATGGACAAAACACGAAGTGTAAACATCCAATAGGACCCACTTGAATAGGTAACACTGTTATTGGCAACAGCATTGATGATTCTCAAGGAAATACAGTTAAGTGAAAAAAATCCAATTTGCAGAGGAACACATGTGCTGAAAAGACTAATCCACAGCAGTTATTGCAGGAATTTGAGACACAATCCTCAATTCTTCCATCAATCACAACATGTAAATAGTATTTCCCTTGGTGCCTTGGTGGGAAAGGGAAAAGTCAAATGAAGGACACTGGTGTCCTTTATGAGGCCAGAAGTGGCTGTTTAGGATAATAAAACCACACACTTACAGAAGAAAGTATTTTCAGACAGGAATAAAGCCAACATCTTTGTACAAATGAGGAAACTGAGGCTCTGGGAGAAGTCAGTTATCCTAATTCACTCGTCATTAATAGTGCAGCTGAAATTAGGACCTTCTCCCTAGGTCCTAACCCAAGACCCTCTATTCACTATGATGTGGACGGAGAAGAGCATGACCTCGAGAATACATTGGATCTAGATTAAAGTCCAGGCTCTGACTGTTAGCTGTGGGAACCAGCATAGTCAATCCCATTCCTATTTCTTCCTAGGTAAACTGTGGATAAGAACTAATAAGAAGAAATAATACCAGTTTAATATGGCTACTATGAAGTTTGCCTGAAGTATTGTGTACACAAGTTGTATAATCTGAGTGTAGTAAATGGTAGCTCCTTCTTTTACATACTCCCCGTAAAGGTGACAGACAAGGAGGCTGAAATGATATGAGATCATCAACCCAACACCCACCCAAGCAGGAAAGCCCCATGCTTATGCTGGCACACGAGCTTCTCTGGGCATGTTTGCTCCCAAAAGGGCACATCAGTTTCCTGGTTCAATGGCCCTTTTTGTTTTTAATACTCATACTGAATTAATT